TTAAATTAGAAGATCACACAAGAAAATCATTTACACATAAAGATTAAAACCAATATTTAAAATTTTAAAAACTTTATATTACATAAAGCCAAAATGAAACTAAATACATGTTAGCCAACTTCATTCACAAACATTAGTCAAAATATATACATTTAAAAATAAACAAAAAAAAAGCTAATAATTGAAGAAGGTTCCTTTTTTTCCTAAAATGTGTTTTATCGTAATTTGCAAATTAATTGCAGGAGATCTAAAAAATAAGCCAATTGAGGAGAGAAATCCAAAACACATTAAACCAGCTCAAGTTGGGAGAGAAATGCTAGCTGAAAATGAGAGACATCTGTTGAAACAATTCTGTGCTTTTTTCCTTCGGTTTTGCTAAATAATAAATATATAATTACCAGACAAAAAAGTCTGATTTAATCTTCGATAAAATTGCGATTCTGAAATAGTTTCGCAATTTTTAAAAGTTAACTTTGACATTCGCTCAAAATGTTTTTGAGTCTAAAAGCGACTCAAACTTAGGGCAACGAAAATCACACATTTTCCAAGCCTCAATGTTTTCACTGACATATACACATTTACAATCTTAAGGTGAACTCAGCCATAAGGAGAAATAGGAACAGCGCCTTTCCCCCCTCTTTTTTTTTTTTTTGTAAACTGTGTCAGAAATCCAAGCGAATGGACTCAGGGAGACTTCTAGTAGTTTGTTGTTGTTTGTTTAGGGAGAAAATCCAATTGACAACTTTCATCTCACACATATTTCTTGTTGGCGTTTCTTGCTCTTGAGAAAGAGCTCTTGCTCTGATTTGCATATGGCGTGATAAACAAAAGAAACCGTGATCATCTCACACACAAAAGGCCAGATTCGAGCCGGTCACTGGTCAAGAATGGATCCGGTCTGGGAGTTCTGCTTGAGAGAACAGAGATCCGCAAAGTTCAAATAGTACAAGCAGGGAGGCAAGGCTGCTGAGAGCCATCCCGCTCCCAGAAACGAATGACACAAGCAGCTTTTCCCGTGTGCCAGCCATTTCAGACCTCACCTTTCAACAGAGTGCATGCAACACGGACCGGGAGGGGGCGAGGGGGCTGGGGGACTGGGGGGCTGAGGGGCGAAGAAGTTGAATGAGAGAAACAAAAACAAAACCGACCAAGAAACTTCCAACAAAACTGGAAAGGCCAACATATCAAAAAGTTACTCCTCCACCTCCGTGGATCAAAACGCAACAGGTTCCGAAGTGCAAAGCAAACACCAACTGCTGCAGGACACAACCGCCCGCTTTCGAGTTGGCTGCCGAAGTGCGGGTCTGAAATGATGCGGCGAATGCACAGGCACGCTCGCCCGCGCCCTCGCTCGCTCGGCCTCTCCTGCCCCGCCGGGTCCCCTGCCTCCGCCTGGCACCTATACATTCTATGTACATACAAAGCGGGCCCCCGGTCTCGGGAGGTCGCACGGGACGGCCGCAGCGCTAGTACTATACATATGTACACGTGTGCACAGCGGTCCTCGCGACGCGGCCCCGCGGGGTCATAGCGCGGCGGCGTAGGCCGCAGGGTAGGGGTCCAGCTGGGGCTTGCCCATGCCCGGCAGCAGGATGTAGGCGAGCGGCGGCTGCAGCCCGGGGCTGGGCCACGCGCTGCAGTTGCACGGGATCATGTAGCCCGGGTTGCCCGGGCTGGGGTGCGAGTGCGTGTGCCCCCCGGCGGCCGCGGCCGCCGCTGCAGCCGCCGCCGCCGCGCCGTGGAAGGCGCCCGCGCCCGCGGTCGGGTAGCCCAGCGACGATGCGTACGGGAGGCCAGACGAGGACGACGAGATCTCTGCCATCTTGGAGCCCAGGTCAAGCAGCGAGTAGGGGCTGCCCGCGGCGGCAGCGGCGGCGGCAGCGGCGGCGGCGGCCGCCGACTGCGGGAAGAAGACGCGCGCGGCGGCGGCGGCGGCGGCCGCTGCCGCTTTCTCGGGGTTGGCGAGCAGCGACTCGGGCACCAGGCCTCCGCCAGCCCCCGCGTGCAGCCCGGCGCCCGCCTTGAGCGCGGGGTGCTCGGCGTCCGCCACTCCGCCCAGGCCGTAGGGCACCGGGAAGGCGAACTTGTCCTTCTTGAGCAGCGTCTTGGGCTTGCGCCGCGGCCGGTACTTGTAGTCGGGGTGCTCCTTCATGTGCATGGCGCGCAGACGCTTGGCCTCGTCGATGAACGGCCGCTTCTCTGACTCCGTGAGCAGCTTCCACTCAGCGCCCAGGCGCTTGCTGATCTCCGAGTTGTGCATCTTGGGGTTCTCCTGGGCCATCTTGCGCCGCTGAGCCCGCGACCACACCATGAAGGCGTTCATGGGCCGCTTGACGTGATCCACCGGCTTGGACATGCTCTCGCCCTGCCGCGGCTGCAGCCCGCCGCCGCCCGGGCCCTCGCCCTCGGCTCGGAGGAAATCAATGTTGGCTGCCCGAGGGGACCCGCTTGACCGGCCGGGGCTCGCCGCGCCCCACGTCGCGCCCTGGCGTCGCTCCCTCCCCGGAGGAGGGTGCTGGGGAACCAGCCCAGGGCCGCGTCGCACCCCGGGCCGCCCTAGGGTCTCCGGCCGAGCGCTCCGGCAGGTTGTCTCCGGGACACTCTAACTTCTCGGCGGTTTCCCCTCCCCGCGGCGGCAGTTTGCCCTTGACGTTCTTTGGGTGCTTCGTCTCCAGTGGTGTTTGCTCGCGAGCTCCCCGCAGGTAGCGGCGGCCGGGCAGAGCGCTCCTCCTCCTCGGTCGTTCTCTCTTAAATGCAAAACAGCCCCCAAAGTTGCGTCGCGGAGGCTCCACCAAGTTGAGCCGAGGAGCCCGCTGCCGCGTGCTGCCAAGTGCCAAAGGGGGCTCTCAGCGGCTGGAGTGTTTGGGTTCTCCTCGGTGACTTTCTCATTTGACAGAAGCAGATGGGGGTGGGGAAGGAGGGGAGGTGGCCCTGGAGGAGGAAGAGGAGGGGGAGGCGGAGGAGTGTCCGGGCGCGCCACGGGAACGCAGAGCACAGCAATGGATATAAATACAAATACAGCGGCACCAGCCGGTCTTCTTGGCTCCGGGCAGGGTGCGCCGACGGGAAACCCCCAATCGGCTGCGTGGTTTTTTTTTTTTTTTTTTTTTTGGAGGGGGAACTGTCCCCCGCAGCACCTGCCTCTCGAGTCCTCTCCGGCTGCTGGACTGACGGGAGGGGCGAGAAAGGAGGGTGGATGAGGCTTGAACAAGCGTTGGTCGCCGGGCCTCAGAGGCAATTCTTCTGGCTCGCCGAGGAGCCGCGTCCGGCCGTCCCCTGGGCCATGCCGGCTCCACTCGCTCCGAGCCCTTCCAGGCCTGCAGGCCGACTTAGGGCTCCCGGAGCTCCCCCGCCGCGGAGAGCAGCGCAGGCTCCGCGCGGCGTCGCAGGCCCGGCACCGGCCGCGTCCCGGCCTCGCTCTTCTCGGCAGCCGCCCGGCACTTGCAACTAACTTCGCCCAAGTTTCCGGGGCCGCCGCGCCCCTCTCGGCGCGCTCCTGGGAGCGTGCGCCCGCGAGTCCGCCGCGTCTGGGGCCCCTCTGTCCTCGCTGCTGCGGCCAGAGCCGAGCCGGCGCAGGGGCGGAGGTGCTGGAGGAGGAGAGTTAAGGAAAACGCGCCATCACCTCAGTCCGCAGGTCCACGCTGGAGCAGCTCGCGCTCTCCCCACTCCCACGGCGCAGGGGGCCCCCTTCCCGGCCCAGGCCGCCCTCTGCACCGGCTCAGGTGAGTGTGGCTACCTGCGTGTGTGCGCGCCCGGAGCCGGCACTGGGTGTGCATGTCCAGCCGCGGCTGTGTGTGTATATCTGGGGGCCAGAGGAGGAGGTGGAGCCCGGGACTCCGGGAGGGAGGAGGGACCAGCGGAGCCGCCTCCCGCTCCCACACCCCCAGGACCTCGAATTAACAGATCCCCTCCGCCCCCCGCCCCCTCCCAATTCTCCTCCTCCCACTCCTTTTCACTTGAGAGCAGGTTTAGGCGAGTGGAGAGTCCGGAGCGCGCCGCGGAGTCTGCGCACTGTTTGGCGTTGGCAACCCCTGGTGTCAGCCCCGGCTACCCAGGCGTGCAGCTGCCCTGGTTGCGGCCCCGGGAGCCTTGTCGGGAGGAAGAAGGCGGCGGGCAAGAGTAGGAGAGCCTCTCCAACTGTGCAGGAAGAGGGTTAAGCCTGGGGAAGGGAAGACTCACCCTTGAAATTGTTTGAGACTGTTCCTAGTAAGTGCTCATTTTCCTGGGAGCTCCAGGTGTTGCTTGCAACAGATGCTTCTCGCATTTTCTTGCACTGGTGAAGCACCCAGTCAGAGGTAGTGGAGTGAAAAATAGTTCAGGAGGGAATAAGGACACTCTTGGCAACCTTTCCGAAAAACAGCTAGCCCAGGCTGAGTATGCATCCTTGACTGACTATTCAAGTCTTTCAAAATTCTGTTTTGTTTGTCTGTTGTTTTAATCCTGGTCACCAGAACCATCTATATGCTGATCTCTTTAAGGTACAGTTAACTTACCGTGTCTCACTTACATGCACAACTAAGGTGAAGGAGTTTAAAATTAATAAGTGTAAGTAGTTTCTCTGGAAGGCAGAAGTAAAACGTACCCATCACTCAATGCTGGAATATTTTCATGCTAAGTATAATTTTCTTCTTTAGTAGTTAGGGCAGTTTTTAAAAAATAGTTAACACGATGCAAAAGTCAAACAGCATGATTCTGTTTGCGTGTTTTCCTCACTTCTTGATATGCTGCAGCACACTTAGAACATGATCGGCCTGGAGGTTTTATTCACATGCTGGCCTGTCCTTCAGGGAGAACTTGCTTGCCTTCTTTCTTTGGCAGTTGGGATTTGACCTAGCCCCGTGGTATGTGCAAGTAGGAACATCTACAGACGGTAAACCCTTTAAGTCTTCCTGCGATTTATATTCGGTTCATACAGACAAACACACAGACACAAAAGCTTTGATTGTCATTATGAACGTGAATTAAAACTGTTTCAGGCCGTCAGATTTATTTAAAAGTTAGGTTTGTTCATTTTAATAAAAGAATAGGGACTTAAAAAATTAGAGTTGTAGTAACAGAACTGTGAATCAGCAGCGGCATGTTTGTGTTTTTCTGAAACTGTCGTATTGACAAATGCTAATTTTGTATCAGTTATGCCCTTGCATTGTTAAAACAATTGGACTGATTTCTCCAGAACCATATTCCTTTATAGGCTCTGTAAAGACACTCTTGTCACTCACAGACTTTGGCTAGGGCAATACGAAAACACTAACAGGTGTAATTATATAGACCGGAATATTAAATGTACAGTTTTGTGATGATAAACTACAAAATTATCATTTCTGAGCTTTTCACCTACTGACTGGCATAATAGGTTTGAGACAAAAATATGATACACTGGCACACAAAGAACATGTGTATATATAGGGCACAAGACATGAAAGCTGTTATTCACTAAATATTGTGAATAAAGTTGAATCTAATCGTGAAAATTATTTTGACACACAAAAAGGGAGAAGGATTGTGAAAATGTGTTTTATATTAGTGAGTTAAATGATTTTGTACTCTTCAAATTTTAGTTTAAAAAATCCACTGCAATTAATTATTACATTAGAAAGAAATGTTTGTATATATGATTGAAATGTATGCTTATATGTGCAATATTTTATAAGAATAATATATGTAAAGTTCTTTGGCTATAGTTTTTTCAGTATACATTTACAATATTGTCTGTCTATTGGTATTAAATGAGCCAAATTTGAACGTTCTCAAGTCCAAGAATGTTGAACTGTGGGTAACAAAGGTGTCATAAAAAGAAAATGACTCTTTGTGTGCTTGTCTATTCACCAAATGAAATTTCCCACGTTTCAAAATAGGAAAGATTTGGTTTTAGTTTTTGGCTTCTAGGGTATCAATATTCTTGGCCTAAACCCTTCACAACCAAAGAAAGAGCCCTCGCAATCAGCCATGCATTAAAGGAAGGCAACGCTTTGCTGTTATTAACCAACCTTCACACCTCTTGTCTGAATCTGGTTGAGCTTTTAACAAAGTAAATTTTCAAGCCATTTTCATTCATATGTACCAAAATATAAATTCACTTATAATTTCCTCATATCTTGTGTTTGAATTGATAGAGGTATGTTTTTGTTCTTGTGCATTTTGTCTTAAAGATGAAAAAAATCCCAGCATGTAGGAAATGGAATAGTCTGTGTGAGTTAATAGTGAAGGAAAATAAATTGAAGGAGAAGTGTAAGTTTGATGGGCTTTATCTTGTCAACTCTTGATTGTAATAAACAGTATAATTTGATCAGTAGAATCGTGTGGATCTGTATTTTCCGGTGGCCACAGTGATACCTGTGATTGCAAATGTATCAAATCAGAAACTGAGTGATGCTCCTTCAGAAAAAGTTTGTGGGTCTGTGTAAATTCAATTTTCACTTCTCCCCCTTCAGTTCTCCCCAGCAAATGGTCTCTTTTCAATTCTAAAACTTTCACTAGGAGGCAGCAATGAGATTGTTGGGGAATAAAAAATACCTTAGCAACCTGACAGGCTGGCTTGCTTGCTTTCTCTTCCACGAGGGTGGGGAGAATACTTGGGTCCCAATGTGAAAGGAATAATTTTTCTCCATCTTTTCATCCTCCTCTCTCTCTCATTGGGGTTTCACCCAGGTGGCTCACTATCACATTTTTCTAGAACCATTCTAGAACCATGGGGGTGATAAAACACAGCAAAGACAGAAAGCCAATGGAGAGAAAGCCACCCTTGCACACCGAGAGCTGGCAGCTATTGTTAGAGAATGTTGGGGATCTGTACTTAAGCAAGTGTGGTGAAAGAATTCAGAAGCTTTCATACCTGCATAGAGAGGTGATATAGCCTGTTTGTCCTGTTAAGAAGGAAATGAGAAGACTGTGACAACATCATCTCCATAAAGCCAGAGAGACAAGAAGAGCTGTCTGAGGTCAACAGTCATGATGGAAAGCAACGGCTATAAGAGTGGCCCTTCACCAGTGCCTGCCAATTTCTTATCCTTTTGAGATTTTTGTCCTTTTATTCTTGCTGTTCTTGCCATGCTTGGAAACTGGAAATATACAGATCATTCATGGAGAACGCCTTTCCTCATGTCTTCTGAGCAGGGCTCATGCAGGCTGACATTTTCAAAAGGAGCTTTACCTAGAGGACAGAACACGAAAAACAATGTCAAAAACAGTCCCCTTCTGCCACCGCCCCCCCCCCAAAACCTAAGAGAAAAAAGACAACACGAACCATTCAAAACAGACGACTTTACGACATACCTATGTCAGATCCCAAGAATCCTGTAAAAGCATAATTTTTTTTAGGATGAGAGCCTTTTTTGTTTTGTAAGGGAGAGAGAGTTAATCCTGAACAAAACTAGAAATGAATGAAGGAGGGTTGGACAGTAGGGTGTCATTGGCCTATGTAATGAAAACTTCCAGCCTTCTGTAGCTGTTAAATGAGGAGACTGGCTTTTGGTAGGGCGGGGTTCCTTGTGAATTTCATCACCACCCATGCCCTGGTTTATTTTGAGAAAGAACAAACCTGAGAAAGGGGATTCTCTTAAGTATCCCAGCATGGCGGTAGATAAGCCATGCTTCTGGCTTTACATAAGTCACTCTGATCGTCCCCATTTCCACCTTCTGGATTGCCCAGCCCTGTGCTTTCCTGGCACTCAGATTCCGGTTCCCATCTAAGGACGGGTCTGCTTTAGAGCTCAATTGCTGAGCAATTCTGCTCCTTAAAAGAATAATAATAATAATAATAAAAATACATAGCTATCAGTTATTGAGTTCTTAAGATACCACACCTTCTGCACACATTGTATTTAACTTTTAGGAAAACCCTATGTTATAAGCATTACCA